CTAAATCCAAAACACAGCACTGTACCAGCTACTAGGAAGGAAATTAACTCTAACCCTGCCGAAACCAGGACAGCACCTCCAGCATTCTCAGTCAGTAGAGCATGGGAAGCTGAAAAGTCCTTGACTAGTGTAAACACTACCTAGCAACAACTAAAACATGGGTGTGTTATCAACATTGTTCTCACCCTAAATCCAAACAAAGCACTCTATCCCTGCTGAAACCAGGACAGCTGTATAAAACTGTGGGTCAGGGAGGAGGGAATGAATGGCATGTGAAGCAGTTTAGCTGAAGAGACAAAATGTTGCCTAAAGTTCAGTACAGGGTCCTGCCTATTTTGGTGTCTGTCAGGGGTCACAGATCTTTCAGCTTGGAATTTACTCTCTTTTTCTTGGTCGTGGTACTTACGATTTCGTCAAGGGGAACTGGAAAGCCAGTGGGATACTACAGCCCTTTTTCTCTTCCTTGACCCTCAAGCACCCACAGTTCATGCTGTCACTCCCCAGACTGGTCTAGTGTTGTCTGAAAGCTCCTCTGAGGTGTGAGGTTGCTCAGCTGGAATACCCTGACCAGCTGTGCTAATCGCCTGCCTTCCTGTGAGCGCAGGGCTCTGTGCCTATAGCACCAGGGCTCATGGTGTGGTGCCAACTCAGATGCACCTGGATAAAACAGGAAAAAGATTGAAGTGAGGGCAATATTGGTGCAAATTTTCTGCAGGGTAGTTTCAACCCCTAAGTGTTGGCTGTGGAACAATTTTAATTTATTGTACTTCAGAAGAACAAAGAACTGGAGTAGAGGGGAACTGATGCTGGGCTGGCTGACTCACAGCAGCCATTGCTGCCGTTGCCTGCAATGACTAGCACAGTTTATTTAACACAGCTCCTGTGCTATCAAAGGCGAGTGCCACCTGCAATGCATTTCCAGAATTAAAATATAATGGACTGGCTCTTGCATGGTGAGTGGCTATTGGTGCTTCTGAAAACCAGTACTGCTAGGCCATGCCCTCGTTGCCCTTTTCATTGATTCATCACCTGTAGCCATAGCAAGATCTATAGTATAGGCAGGTCATTGCTGCTGTAACTAGTGGCATCTAAACCGAAGTGCCCATCCTGAATCATGGGGAGTTGGAGGACATCTGTGTGCCCTTGGCCTGCTCTTGCCTGCCTCAGACTTGCAGGTTAAAGGGGTTGCTGTGCTGGCAGCCTGTTCCCAGTCACCATTTCTCCTAGGCTCTGCCATTTCCCACCCATCATATAATGGAGAAAATCTGAGGGGAACGACAGTGGTAAGAGAGGAGCTTGCTGCCACCACAATTCATCTGGCCTGTGCCTTGCTCGCTATCTGCTTCCGAAGAGCCCTTGGGGAAGGAGATCTCATTCCTCAGCTGCACATGGTGTCCATGTAGCAGCAGCCCTGTCCTAGCTGATTTCTTTGGGCTACAGGGAGGCAGAGAGGCTTGTCCATGGCAGATGAGCCTTCTTGGGCATGTTCAGGAGTTGGTTTGCACACATTCATAAATACCACATAGCTGGGAAGTATTGGACTTCCCATACACGTGCAGTTTGGCTCTTCTGGTATGCGGCACGGCTGGTGAGTTTATACAGGAGGAGCCTTCCTTTCTCCTTGAAAACATCTGTGGTCAGGCTGTTGGGCATTGCTGATCAAGACTTTGTGATGTGAGCCGGCCCTGGTGTCGTCAGGGAAGACATGGTGCTGGGAAGGTGATGAACTAACACTCACTATCGATCGTTCAGTTTCTGTCACAGGAGCAACTCACTGTTTGAACAGTGCTCTGGGTGTGCAGGCATGCAGGAGAAGGCAGTTGTCACTCCAAGCCTTGATTTAAGCAAGAAAGTCAGAGATGGGAAGCAGAAACTGAGTCCAAAGAGTGAAGTAAACTGGTTTATGCCATAGGCAGAGATGGAAATGTGATCCACTCCCTGACTGCATTGCAGGACCAGGCTACCCCTCTAATCTTAAGACATTTACAGCATAGCAAACTGTTCATTTCCCAAATCCAGACAACTG